AGGAACTAATGGATTTCATTTTTAATCCAACTTTATTTCTTATTATTCCAAAAGTTATTTTAGTGGTTACCCATGTTTGAGTAAATGCCCTGTTTGTTTGTTTGTTTTTATTTTAAACAGTGTGAATTACATCTACTGACCTGTGTACTTGAGAGAATGATATGTCCCGGAAAGGGATATATTTGATCAAAGTAGCAAAGTGGTTTTAGACTACTGTAACTGAGTAGAACAATCTAGCAGGTAACTGTAATGGACTGGTACTCATCCTAGTGGTAGGCAATAGGCATTGTCCCTGTACCTCCACATCAGTCTGTATTTATAGCTGACACCAGCCAATCATATTACTGTGAGGGAGAACCCAGGTGTATGCATATTCATTAGATCACTAAATTTTCTTATTTTTGAGTAAAAATAGGTAATTACTAGAAGACTGACTATAAAGATGGTGACAACGATTTCTCATTGGGCTCCACCATTTTGGTTTTGATTGGATACTCTACAGTATAATCTAAACTAAACAAGAACCCAAAGATACAAAATAATAAAAAAATATATTACAAGAGCCCCAACACACAAATATAAGAAAAAATTATTTTACAAAACAGGTCATATTGCACACTACTATATACTGACACTGGTTTGGAAACACCACTAAGCTCTTTTTAGTTTCTAACACAGACACTACTGACTAATATTTCACAGTGTCTTGAAACACACACACATATACATATATAATGTCTACAACAGGCAATGTCAGTTTCATAAAGATGTATAAATAAGACCACACCAGACAAATTGTTAATTATAGCATTCATATATCTACATTGTTTCTTATTTAATGTAAAACTTGTTTGTAAATATTTAAAGAGAATGCAAATATTAAAACACTTTTGTTTTATCAATAAGTTCATTCACCACTTCAGTCTGGGCCGATTGATTTTATCACCTCATCTGATTTAAGTGTATAACTACACAAGAGGAAAAGAAATGATTCAGTTGTCCAGAAATGTGCAACTAATGATTCTTAATTTTACAAATACATAAAAGCAGATGATAAAATTATTGAAGCAAGTTATAATTATAGACAATTGGAAGATTGATTTAAACTATTGTAAGATATTCAGCTCCATCATTTGATCAAACAAGGCTGGCAAGACCAAATGATATATCTCACATATATGGTAATATAGAATGATCAAATGAAGACATACATTACTAATCATGTGATAAAGTAAATATTACAGATTCAAATGACCAATTAAGTACACATCATAGAGGTGATGGAGATTTAATCAGGGAATGTGTGATTGTGTGTATATATATATATATATATATATATATATATATATATATATATATATATAATAATAATAAAGAGAGAGAACAGTAAGATAGATAATCCGGTGTTCTTATTAATATTTTTATTTTTACAAAACAGTGCTCAATGCAAATCTCCAGAGCATAAATATAGAATTAAAGTCCCTAGTCCTGTTTGATTTTCAAGTGAATTTTGAAAATTTTTCCAAAATTTGCTTGAAAATGAAACAGGACTAAACCACACTTTAATTTAATTCTATAATTGAATTTGAAGTTTTAGTTTCTGTTTTTGAAACATGGTAATTCCTGTGTAGCGATGGAACCATATTTTTAAATTAGTAAATTTATAATATATATATATGTATACAGATTTGATGTGTTGATGTATTATCTTTTAAGATTTATAATTGATTGTAAAAAGTTTAAACCAGTAACTTAATTACATAAATTATATATGTGAGATAACAATATATGAATTTTTATATATCTAGAACAATACTCAGTGAAAATGAATGACAAAATGGAAAAAGTTTTCATCTGATATGTTTAGTCTGATGAAGTTCTAAAGGCTGAAAACCATCACACAAAACCTTTTTCCCTATTTTGTCAAAGATTTCCAATATATATATATATATATATATATATATATATATATGATGCAATGGGTAAATTATTGCTATTTTATATTTTTAATTGTGTGCATGCATGTTTGTATTTTGTCAAGTATATTGTATAGTAAGGTCAGTTGGGAAGCCTCTGTGCGAAAAAGATCACCATGAAACAATTCACTCTGCCAGAAATTTGGAAACAGCATGCTGTACCACTTGGCATTTGCACCAGAAACTCCAATATGAACATTTCAAAGTGTTTGGGTGTCAATCTGAGGACGGTGCAGAGGATTTGGAAAGAGTTGGATGATATATCTAGTCAATATCATGGTGTTTGGAGTGAACATAGTGATAGTGACATTATGCTTTCATTCATCTTTCCACAGGGCCTCACACTTAATACGGAGGCCTACATCAAATGCCTTGAGGAGATAGTGCTGCCCTAGATCAAGAGGGTGGCTACTGGAAGGCTACTATGTCTGACAACATAACTCTGCACCATGCCATACAAGCAGGAGAACCCAGTCATGACTGTCAGGCAGTTTCTGTGATCACATCACCCCTTATATCTGGCCACCTAATGCCCCAGACTGCAACCTCCTTGATTATTATGCAAGGAGTGCAGTTGAACAAAAGACCAACAAAACTCCTTGTAACACCAAAGATGAACTGAAAGCAAGGATTATGGCAGCATTCACCAACTTAAACAAGTAGACTGTCCAAAAGAGTTGTACGAGATTCCAAAGTCATCAGGAGGCCATGGTTGAAACCAATAATTTCGTTGAACAAATTTATTCTTTAGCATTTCAAGGTATTTTTGTGTAATTTTGGTAAATATATCTGTTAAAATGAGATGTCAGTGTTATCAGGAACTGCCTAGTCTTCACTTTCCAGTCTTGATAGAGTTCAAAAGCATCTCCCCAACCTTGTAGGTGATTAATTATTTTCTACCCTACAACCCTGTTCCCACAGACAAACCATTGCAAGCCTCTCACTATTATAGTGCTATTTCCATAGAAAGTTTTCAGATAAACTGCATTCCTTAATTCTACCAGTTCTAATCCTCGTGCCTAAGACCCACCATACCCAGTACATTGTAGCAAACCACCTTCATTCCCTTCATATTCCATTGATGTGATATAAGTTCCACCATGGCCAACTAGTATTATATGGTCTCACATGTCACATAACAAGCAGAATTCTAACTGACTGATGTAAACAAAAAAAATATGAATGGTCACTTAGAAAATTACTAATCTAAAAGTGAGCTAATTTTAAAAATTGAATTCTTAAATGTAAATTAACAACGTACAATTACATAGAATTTATCAGATGTTAGTTCAATTCCCTAGACATGTTTTCAACCTGAAAATCCATATTTACACTTTTTTTTTTAATAATCCTGAAATTATAAACAGTTTTGAGTTACCTTGCTTTTATGATTTCCAATTGAGTATACAGTCCGTTTTGCAAGTGAACACTATTAGGTAAATTTTCTACCTCATAGTCCATTACTTTTAGATTAAATTTGTCAAAGTTTGTTGTGAAACATTCTGAAAAGAAATTTATTTTGAAAGGAAAACAAAACAAACTGAATTGAAATTTACATCCAGTACCTACAATACATTCAGACAAAAAATAAAGTGTTGTCCTCATGCTATTGAATTTAAAAAATAAGGAAGATTATATTCTAATTTATAAAATAGTCTTTGATGCTGAAACCCATTTTCCATCTATAAAAGAGTGTATTTGCATTGACCAAAACCTTCACATCCAGCTCCAGTGCAATGGAACCCCTATATCATTATGATAGTGGTTTATACATAGACAAAATGCATGTTAGAAAATTAGCATGTTAGAAAATTTTCCAAACTACATACAAATGTGGTGAAAGAACAAACATACTCACTTCTAAAAGAATTACAAAAAAAACACTCCCGACCAAAAGGTCATCCTTCATTTTCTGCAGAACTAACACATTATTCTTTACTACTGTGCTATACATCTCAACAAGCCTACAAATTACTTCTGGAGAAATTTCCATTACCATCTCTTTCTTTATTAGAGAAAATTCAAAAAAATTAATTAATCATTTTCAATGTAAAATGTGTTCTCTGGTCATGGTAGGCAATGATAATGATGATGCTACAGAGAAGCATTAATCTGACTTACTTTCTCGAGGTCTTACAGTTTCATCTAGCCAAATAGCAGAGTTCGTTTGTGCTTGTTTTGCTATACTTGACTATGCAGATAAATTTATTGTAAAACATAATGAATCCACTACAAGAGAGTCTGCTGAAAGAATTTTGGAAATTTATTATCCAAAATATGCTTTTACTTGTGAACAACACTGAAAAAAAATTCACTTTGCAGCAAAAATTGTTGTGAATATATTTACAATAAACAAAAGTTTTCATCGGATGAATTTTGAAAAAATATTGTAAAATATTCTAAAAAAGGCAACAGTTAGAAGAAAATTGATTTATAGAGAAACTATTGGTAAGTTTTTTTACTTGTATTTGTTTTGTATTAATGCTTAATTCTTTAACAAAAATGTTTTGTTTGTTTACAATCTTTTATTATTACTTTTCTGTTTAAAAAGAGAAAAAACAACTTGTTTGTGTATTTTTGGACAGTTTTAACATGTTTTAGATAAAACAGACATAAACTGACTATAAACCAAATAAGCCTGTTAGAAATTAGCCTGAAATGGCGCATGTGGGCCTGTATATATTAGTGGGCTGTGGTTCCACTTCCACAAACTACTGCTTTGTGGAACCATCTCCCAAGAGGACACTTCCCCAATCACTACAATCTTAACCAGTTCAAGTCTAAGGTTAACCAGTATCTTCTCCACATATCCCTATAAACTCTGCCACTCACTCTCTCTACATCAAGTGACTCTTGAGCCTTCAACAGAGTGAACATTATTGAAAAAAAAAGTGAGCCCTGCTATGTTTTTCTGCTAGTAACACTGTAACATATAATCCCTGGCCATTAAGAAGCCAATATTATTTCATCTGGCATTCATCTTCTGTTTTTTTGGTTTATTTGATGGTTTACTTTCTCTTTCAGATACTGTGAGCAATTCTACAGAAAGCACGACTGTTGATGGCATAAATTTAGATGAAATCAAAGAATTTGCAAAACAGTTCAAAATTCGACGGTTATCTCTTGGTCTGACACAGACTCAAGTTGGCCAAGCATTAAGTGCTACTGAAGGACCGGCCTATAGCCAATCAGCCATATGCAGGTGACCTATTTTGATATTTTTTAAAACCTTTTTACTGAAATTTAATAAATTTATTTTCCCTTTCTTTAATCATAACATTTTTTTCAAGAGAGAACAAACAGTTATTGTTCTTTTTTATTTTTAATGATTCATTGATTTTGCAAGCGGATACATTTCACTGCTTTATATCTTAGAAGTTATAAACTGTCTTTCTTTAGCATTCTTCTATTACTATTGCAATGATTTTAATCTTTGCTCAGCACCCAAAACACATTACGTTAAGCTTAGTAAATATCTACATGCCACCTTTATGACTGAGATAGTTGTAGAATTCACAACAGTGCCTGTGGTAAAAAGTCAAGATTTTGGATGCTGATATTTAAAGACACACAGTTGAAAAATTGATGAAGCACAGTCTTCTTTCTTCTCCATTTTATTCACCTAGCCTTGTGCCTTACTAAGCTAATATATATCAATACTATTTTAATTAAGCTTGCTCCGGTAGACACTGTTTCTTTCCTCAGATTGCACATATCACATGACTTATGTGCCAACAAGTAACCCAGGCTGCTGGCAGATAGGTGTTTTTATCAAGTCACTATCTCTGGATAGATTGCCAACTAAGGCTGAAAAGTACCCCAACTGGTTTTGAATAAAGAGTTTTCCTTTTTTAAGACTGATTGCTAACCAAGGCAAAGAGCCCATTCTTCCCTGCTATTTAACCCATCGGTGTAGGGAGAAGAAATGAATTCATACCTTTCTCTATGGTATTTGTGCAAAAGTGACTCAGCCAGAATTTGAACTTGGTATACTAATTTATCTTTCCAAACTGATAGCCATTATACTACCCATTCATTCATGAGGTAAGAAGCTATTTTTATTTTTTTTTTTTTTTTCAAGGCAGAAAAATATTCTCCAGTTGGGAAAATGGTGCTATAGAATCTTTTTACCTCTCTCTTTTTAATACTAAGTTTTGTACTTGACTAATGCTAAACTTCAGAAATATCAGTAACCATGTTTAAATTGCCTACTTTGATGGCTGAGATAATTTTCTATTCTGCACCAGTCACAATTGTCAGTGTTCCAGTCCCAGCAAAAAACCAGGATTTTGAAAGCTGATTTTCAAATAGGCAAGTCCATCACACCTAAGACTGGCACAAAACAGTCTTCTTACCTCTGTTTATCCATCATTTGATTTTGTATAAGCTCAATAAATATTAAAAATAATATTTAAATTTATGGAGTTTAATCAAGACTTCAATTGTTACTTGCTATTCAATTTATTTTCCTTAGACCTTACTTGATGTTTGTTTCTGACTCAGACCAAATAAGAGAGATTTATACAAAGGTATAGCATGCTTGATCACTGAAGTAACTGTGTCTTTCATAATGGCATCAGTTCAAGACTAGGTGAAAAGCTTTTATTTCAAATGTTGATGTATAAACCAGGCACTTGAAAGATTGGTACAACATAATCTTCTTACAACTTATTGCCCCTATACAGTACTAAGCTAATCTTAATAAATATCAATAAAATGGCAATTATTTGCAAGTTATCTTCCTTGGATCTTAGCTGACTTCAATGATACCCAAGACACTTTTTTAATTTGGAGTTCATTGTTTAATTTATTCTTCATTATTTACTCTATTTACATGCAGACTGTTGTCCTCATCTTTGTTGTTTTTATCACAACAGTTTGGTTATTGGTGTATGTTGATTCGGATAACTTACAGGGAATTTCAAACTCGACCCTTTATTTAATCCATTGTTTTAGATCAACTCTAGTTCTTATTATAGTACTACTTAGTTATTGTCGCCCTGTTTCTAATGCCCAGGGATTGAACTCACAATTACTATGCCACCATATTCACAAACTAACATTACTAGGTTAATATTCCATTGGACAATTCTCTGTGGAGAACTTGGAGCCTTAAACCCAACCTGCCTGTTGATGAGTGCTTCTGCTGCTTGTCATGCTTGACTGTACTCACTGAAGCTTTTCTCTTGTTACACCTGCTACTGTCATTTGTCTTTCATTCTTTATTAGCAACCATATTATTATATACTGTACCTATGAATACTAATAGATATGTCCCAATCCTCATAAACAAATTGGACACTATTGTAAGTGGGAATAATATGCTGTGTAAGTAGTCCACCATTAGCAGTGGTTTACCTAATTCACGCTGCTGGTGAGTATTGTATTTTGTTTATGTTATAAAGATTACCATTTCATTTCCAACCACCGTTTTTGTTATTCTTTATTCAGTAACCCTTCCTAGGTTACAACACTTATCATATTTATATCTATGCTAGGCCTATTGCACCTAGACCAGATGAAGGCTAGGGGGCACAAGGGTCAAAACATTGTGATAACAACAACAAAGATTAGGACAATAATCTTTACATAAATAGTGTAAATAATAATAATTGCTCATCCCAGAAATTTAGATGGAAATTCTTCTTCGTTGTTTTACAGCACAAAGAGACACTATCAAAAAGATGCATAAAATTTAATGATGATTAAGATATATATAAAAAAAATCAAATCCTGATGAATTAGTGAAAAAGACAGAGATGTAGTCTACTTGATGGCTCAGGTAGATTTTTTGTTTGAGATTTTCAGATGAGTTGGCTTTTCTTCCGAGTCAACTTTGACCTTCAAAAATTTAAATGCAATGTCAATCATTATCTACTATCTTCTTAATTCTTGTTCTTTTAATGTTCTCTCACCTTAATAGCTTTTTCCTCATATTCTCTAACACTCATTAACCCCCTACACCTTAGTGGCTTTATAGCCTTGCTTGGGGTGAAATTATTTTAAAAAATATATATACAAGGTCTGTTTGCAAAGTAATGAGATTGGGGTCACAAACAATTTATTTAAATTCCAAACAACAAACTGCATGGTTTCTCCTTCAAAGTAATCCTCCCTTGAATCTAATGCACTTTTCCATCCTTCTCTGCCTTGCTTCAATGCACTGATGGTAGGATTCTTGGGTACCCCTCAGCTCTGTTGTTACAACCCTCTTGATGGCCTCCATGCCTTCAAAACAGATCCCCTTGATGATCCCCTTGAGCTTGGGGAAAAGAAAAAAATCCCACTGAACAAGATCAGGTGAATAGGGAGGTTGTTTTAGTACAATGAAGTTCTTCACAGCCAGGAACTGCCGGATGCTCAGGGCTTTATGAGCAGGTGCATTATCATAGTGAAGCAGGCACAATTTGTCCTGCCACAAAAGCATATGAAAAAAAAATGCAATGCTTGCAGAAAGCTAAGATTACAGCTATATACTCCCAAGATATCATTTTAGATGATAAGACAATCCACTTATCCCTCTTACACCCAGAGCTCACACAGCACACTCATTACCGTTACTTTTCAGACAGATCTCATATATTGATTTCTATGCCCACATTGTCTTTACTTACAAACACTCAATCTCCAATATCGAGCACTCTTCCACCATAAGGCAAGTTTTAAACAATATAATTATATTTATTTTTTCCACACTATTTTGATCAATCTATACTTTTTCCTTCTGGTTATTTTCTTTTAATCATAATCCAATATTGCAAATGAAAGAAGACCACTGAATTAAAGAAAGTTCACACAGAAGGAAAGAAAAAAAAATACTGTCTAGAATGAAAAACAAGTTGAATAAATTAGGTATTGAAAGTTGCCACAGGCAGACTCTAACTCAGCAACAAGTTACAAGAACTATATAACAAACCTAGATTACACAACAAGCAAAAATTCACCTGAAGATGGTTGGAGAAGGAAGAGGATGAAATTCTTTTCTGATTCTGTTTATAAATTAATGGAAAGAAAGACACCAGACTAAAGAACAGATTATAAAGAGAAATAAACAAAACAATAGACTTTAACAGACAAAACTTAATCCAAAGATAACTATAAAATGAACTAAAAACGTTTTTTACTTTTGCTAAAAATGCACCAACATATAATTTAAGCAGAATTAGACAGTAAAGAATGAACAGAATTCACATAAAGAAGATCAAAGAATACAATGATAGAAAGGTTTCTATTTTTAATGGTAGTTCTAATTTTATTTGTGTATCAGCAAAAAACACCAGGAGTGTATGATATACACCACAAACTAGTTTGCAAACAAGACAGCAAAAAAAAATTTACTTCTGTTTTTTTTTGTTTTATTTTGTTAAATCAATTCACCCCAAATAAGGTGATAATGCCACTACTACACAAGGGACTACTGGAAGTGAAAGAGTAGGAAAAAAAACTTTAGAAGGAACTGGAAACCCAATCCTGAACAAAAAAAAAAAAAACTTTCTTTTTTCCTAAAGAAAGTTGGAAAATGGATCGACTGAACTTTTTGTTAATTTTTTTTTTTCAGTTTTTTTTATAGGAAAATTTTGTCTTTGGAAAGTTAGCAAATAAACCAGTGTAAATATTATGGGAAGAGATGTGAGAATCATTTCATATGGAGAAAAGGAGATGTAAATGATCATAAGGAAGAGAGTAATTTCAAGAGAAAGTGTGACCCCAAAATCCAAAGGCACATTTGGATAGCAAAAGTTGCCTTCCAAATGCTAAACAAAGTATTAAGATACAAGAAACTTTCATTAGAAACAAAGAAAAGAGCACTCACCTGTTATGTAATATCAGTCCTCCTTTATGGCAGTGAGTGCTGGACAATCTCCTCACAGATGAAAAAGAGACTTGAAGCAACAGAAATGTGGTTCTGCACAAGAATGCTGAGAATACGATGGACTGAACATGTGAGCGATGGTGAAGTTTTTAGAGAAAATGGAAACTTATACTTAACATCTGAAAGAGATAGTTGAAATTTCTAGGGCACATAATGAGGAAAGAGGACTTGGAAAATTTGATGCTCACAAGACATATTGAAGGCAAAGAGGGATAAAGGAAAATACAGCATAAACTAACTAACGAGCTTATGTAAATGGTTGGTAGAACAGGGTTTAGAAGAAATAACAAAAAGACTAAATTTACTATGAACTACAAAGGACAGGAAAT